ACACACGCGCGCCGAGCAGCGCGCGCGCACACACACACACGGCGTACACACACAAGCGCGCACGCTCGCCCCCGACATACACACTTCCCTGGCTCTTCCACTCACTGCTACCCCAGAATCGATTAACTCGTCATGTCGAACTAATTACTATTACACTCTTATCGTTGCAGATTTCCACGCTACATGGCACGTGCCCCGATTAATATTATAATACAGTGAATGGGTAATTTTAATCTGTAATAATGAATGATAAATGATAAGTCAAGAAATAATAATGAAAGAGCGAAATGCATCAACAGATGACGCCTGTCACTCACATGTATCATGTGCCGTTTTGTAATCAATATACACGTAAACACACCCTAATCATTAAAACTACCTAAAAATGCGAGTTTTTCATCTAAAAACTGATTAGTTACCGCGAAACAGAGCTCTCGGGCTAGACGTGGGGTTAAAAATGATAAAAAGGCGCGATATGTATTCTACCAAGAGCTAATAATACCTAGAGTGTACAACGGAAAAACGGGAAAATAGTGCTATTTCACGACAACATTATTCTACTTTGCCTGCAAGTCTAAAATAATTTTATGGTATTGCATTAAGCAGAATTCTTTGCTCTCTAAAACAAGACCAACCGCTTGTCAATACGATACTTTAGGGCTGAGATATTGGCTCCTAACCCTCCCCTCCCACATGCCTCACGCCGCCTCGCATCCCGGTTATTCAGCCACCTCAACGCCCCTAAGCATTGCTTCGTGAAAGTTCGGTTTTCCGCGATAACTTTATAAATGAACGGCGTTTCGGTTATCATAGGTGACTTTCGGGGGCATCGCCTATGCCCTTATCTCTCATTATCTTTCCTAGCACGGCTAATGCCCGTCATGATGGAGCCGGCAATGTTATCTAAATTAAGTCTTTACAACGCAGCTCAGTTACTCTATGGTGTAGTAATGCCGCTTTTATACTGCGCACGACTTTAGCCCGCTTCTGAAGCGGGATAACTTTAGTCGCGGATAAGTCGTTTTATACTGCTGAAGCGGGATAACTTTAGCTCGGGATAAGTCGTTTTTATACTGCGCACGACTTTAGCACGCTTCTAAAGCGGGATAACTTTTAGCTCGGGATAAGTCGTTTTATACTGACGTTAGCTCGGATCTGAAGCGGACCTGAACTACCTCCTGAGGTGGAATAACTTTAGCTCGGGCGAAGTGTTTTTCGACCTTTTATACTGGAGTTTATCCCGCTTCAGGTCCGGACCTGAAGAGGGATAACCCCCAGTATAAATGGGGTAATGGGAGGGTTTGTGGGGGAGGGGGAATTTAGAGCGAGCTAAAGTCGAGATACCTTTTATACTGACGTTAGCTCGGGTCTGAAGCGGACCTGACACCCCCTAGAGCGGGATAACTTTAGCTCGGGCTAAGGGTGTTTTGACCTTTTATACTGGGGGTTATCCCGCTTCAGGTCCGGACCTGAAGCGGGATAAACCCCAGTATAAAAGCGGCAGAGTACCAAATTTGGGCATGTGACATCAATTATCAGCGCTCCAAGCGGTGACGGAAACCGATAGCCAAAATGCTTAGGGGCGTTGAGGTGGCTGAACAACCGGGATGCGAGGCGGTGTGAGGCATGTGGAGGGAGGTTTAGAAGCCAATATCTCAGCCTCGGAGTAACGTATTTTACAAGCGGTTTGGTCTTGTTTTAGAGAGCAAAGATTCTGCTTAATGCAATACAACAAAATTATTCTAGACTCGCAGGCAAAGTAGAATAATGTTGTCGTGAAATAGCACTATTTTCCGGTAGCACTATTTTAGCACTATTTTAGATATTATTAGCTCTTGATTCTACTTACAATATATTAGTGAGCCGCGCCCGCGCTGGAATCCCTTTGACGTTTCGCAATTCAATTAGCGAAAACCGCACATATATGGCTGACTGACGATGGCCAGGTAAAATCCAGCGAAATTAAGTCATTACGCATCACTTGAGCCAGCAGTAATAACGACCGCTTAATTACTACCCAGTGCTTTCCTCCCACTATCTACCATCCCCTAGTATTCATGCAACGAGAATCTCTCTCTCTCTCTCTCTCTCTCTCTCTCTCTCTCTCT